TGTAGCATAACTCTTTGCAGAAGCTATCCAGGTAGTCGAGAAAGTGACAAATTATAGGCAAAAGGTCTACCGAGTAGGATGTTCGCAGGACTAATTCGTAGCCAATCTTGTCCAACTTCTGCAGGGTTGGTTGTGGAATGTGCGTCCGAGCTACCTGTCAGGGACGAGCCGGTTCCTTTATAATGAGGAATTTCGAGCATATGTGCCAGAGTTCTAGGAGTAGTTTGACACATTATCAGGAACTCTTCCAGGGCGGAAGTGGTGTAGTGGCAAGTGGCACGCTTACCACGCGAGCGGTCCGGGGATCAAATCCTGGGTCGTGAGTCGCCCGGGCCAACCAAGCCTTCCATCCCTCCGGGGTCGGTTAATTGGTACCAGACTTGTCTGGGAGGATAAAAACACTGACTTGTACATCGGCTGGCCCCCGCAAGTCATTGTATAGGCCACATCGCATTCAAACGCCACTACGAATGTACAAATGGAAGTAGAATGCGTGCCGCATCCCAAAAAGGGATTGATCAACGGCAAATGCTTTATCCTTTATCCTTTATCTTTACTTTTCCACCTTAACCGATCCACCTGGTTACGAAAAGCTAGACCAGCCGCTGACCTTATGAAAGTCACCTCAACCTTCCTTCAGTGAAGTTTCACTTTTGCAAAGTTTGTAGAGCCTGATCGCGGTCGATCACTTCACCAAAGGTTCGTATTCTGTAGCAAAGAATCCGTTCTTTGTCGTGCGTCGCAAATGATCAAAAAGTCAGGTCGTTTTCATGGCATGAAACAAGCTAGAACGCGGCGAACGACCCTTCAAAATGGTGAGCTGTCGCGGCACGCCCTATTTGAATTTTTGGGACTTTCCAGCTCTTCCCGTACAACAAGAAAACACAATGCAAGTGCGATTAGTTTAGGAGGAACCCTCTCAATAGATTTGTGCAAACGTGCTTCAACCAGAACGTTCGACTAATCGTTGGCGTTGTCCAATCTCCGATCACCACCCTCACAATCTTTAGGGCTCTCGCTATTCTTACAAAAGCTTTTTGAACAATTGCTTCAGACCATATTTATTGCGAATCTCAGCCAAGTGCGTCTATAATATCTTGACCTGCTCCTCTCCATACTGGCCTGCTTTGAGCTAGAAAAAGGAAATCATGCAAATTTGCTCTTGGAGTATGCCGTATTCAAGGCTTCAAAAAATGACAACTAAATAATAAGGAACATAGCTAGCCTAGCTGTTAGATAGAACAAGAAAAGCTCTTCAAAACCACATACAGCTCATTGGCAGCTTGCTTGAATTCGTAACAAAATAAAGCGTTCAAAAACGAAACACCGAAAAGCGCAAGAACTTTCTTCGCGACCTAATACTTAACTTTTGTAGTGGAGGATGATGTAGAGTTTTTTCAATGAAGGAAAGAAAGGATCAAACAACCTTTCATGGTACAGCCTATGAAGAGGGTCATCTCCAGCTGCCGGGAGTGGAGTTGTATCCCGAAATTTCCTCGACGCGTCGCCTGACCCTGTCCTGGTCTCTCTCACTAAAACTTAATTTACATCTGTAAGAAGTACGTTGACATCAGTGCTTCATCAGAAGTTGTGCCATCGTGTTAGCATCACAATTTATCAAGTACGCTCAAGAGGAAGGTCTTTCAGGAAATGTCAAGCTTCTCAAAACGGTTTTTGCATGATATAGGGGTACATGCATGGAACACAGAACTGTAGTTCATTTTTCCTGAGCGGCCCTCTGAATACCAAAAAAGGGTGAAGTGGTCCGTGGTTCGAATCCTCGCAGTGACATTTTTTGCATTTTGTGTTGGTGTTCCAAAGTTCACAAAAAAGAGAAACGAGAAACAACACAAAGAAGAGTCTCAGCGTGAATAGCAGATGTCATATCTATAATTATGAGCAATAGCAACCTTAAAGCGAGAGATTACGATAGGATTGTGTTGTGTTCATAGTGGAAGTGAAGATGCTGAATAATGCCCTAGTAGCGAAAAAAATCCGTCAAAAACGCGCAAAATGGGACCACTTCCTCTGCCCGTTGACCTCCGATAATGGACGAGTTGGCAACCAACTAAGAGGTCGTCGGCACTCGTTAAACCATAGCTAACCATCATACCTTGATTGATAAGCATTCCATGAGAAAGTTATTGGATACGCGCTCGAAGTGGCATACCTTATCAAAATGATAATCGAACAGCGATCTGCTGGGGGCGGAGCACAGGCGTGGCGGAGCTCAGAAAGGATTGGCAGCCCCAGGGCGCTGCAACGAGCGCACCTTTAGTCACAAAAAGGCCACATCTCGATTCCTTTGGGCTCTAGCTACTGCTTGAAGTGGTGCTCGTTCTTCCATGCTGCACAGAACTTTATCGTAATCTCTCGCTTTAATACGTAGGTTTTGAATAAAAAACTGGTGGAGAAAGTTGCGAGACCAAAACGGCGCCGTTGTAGCGCCCAATGGCGTCATAGCGAATTCAAATGACGTTTACGCTAAAAACTAATAGAATATTCGTAATCAGGACGCCGAATAACCCCTAACCCGAAAGTTTCAGGGAAAATTAAGATTTCGTCCCAACTTCGAACAGTTGGACCATGGGTAGATAGATCAGTAGCCCGTCAGGCTCATTGGTAGATAATTTGGAGGCGACCTTCCTTGTCATCTTTCACACGGAATGAGAAATCCTTCCCGTAATAGACAATGGTAGACACTCAAGCCGGCGATGGGCGAGAAGTCACCAATGACTATGTCATTAGGTTCTCCTCCTTGTCAAACAGTGGCAGGTTGGGCTTCTGGTCATACTTCTGGCTGGGTCTACTGCCGATAGCTAGATCAGCTGCAAAAAACGCAACGTTGTGTGAGACTTGCCCTGCGAGGGAGAACCTCGGTTTCCGTGGTAATCACTAGGACGGACCCCTCCTATTCCACGTTAGCCCTTCTCCAAGCCTTCCGGGGGCAATTTGTTTATGAATTATAAAATTTTTATCGATGCACACACAAGTTTGTGAGAGACCAATACGAATTCGCAGTCGTAGGATCTCAAAACGAACATAAATCCGCATTATATGCATGCGCAGGAGTGCACGATCACAGGAAAATGACAATAGAAAAAAAGCAAAACTTCGGCAATGTGGGGAACCATGAACACCGCCCTTTTGCCTTCCGATTCACAGACCGCACCACTAACCACTAGGCCATCCGACTGTCGCTGACGTTCTGGCTTCGAACGGAACTGATGAATCTTCCACAATAGTTTCACTACATGCCAAGGAGAAACTCAAATTCCGCATTTTTTCAATGTACAGTTCATGAGAACCTTTTGATATGACACTAGGTCAACGCTGTGTGCGATGTACGTCACAACAAAGCGGTTAGAACGGCAGTTCTTGAAGAATTTTTTCATCGCTCCTTTTTT